GTATAGCTTGCAGGGCTAAAGGATGAAGCTTGCAGATAACGATCCCGTGACCGATTGTAACAGGGTTTAGCATCTAAGGTGCACGAAAAGGTGAATTCCGATGATTTCGCAGGTGACGACCCTCGCCAGGTCAACGACAAGAAACGGCCCGAAAGCAAGATCAACTGCAAGCCTGTTTTCCTCATCCCTAAACCCCAAACCCGAAACACTATGCAAATCAGTACAGCAAACATCAAAACCCCAGCAAGACACTCACAAACATAAACACACTTCACACTTCCCTAAAACATGATGAGCCCCGAACGACGCCCAACAACCCTTACCCCCAGACCTTCCAAAATCCCTTAATTAAGGAATATCCCTTAAATTATAGTAGGGATCCTACTAAAATTTAAGGGATATTCCTTAATTCCCTTATAGACCCCCTTTATCGATCCCTTTAAGGAGCCCTTTAAAGGAACCCTAATATAAGGGATATTCCTTGATTAAGGGATTTTGGAAGGTCTGGGCCCAGGAGTCGCTGAAGATAGAGAAGAAGTTGCTCGCAAGGGCGAGGGTGCTCCAACAGCCACCCGGCGCTTTGCTGTACGGTCGAGGCTTCCTAGTCTTAGGGTTCCTTAAAGGGATCTATAAGGGTTCCTTAAAGGGATCTATAAGGGTTCCTTATAATGGGATCTATAAGGGTTCCTTATAATGGGATCCATGAAGCCTAGTCTTAGGTGTGTAGGGTTTAGGGTTTAGGGTTTAGGGTTAAGGGTTTAGGGTTTAGGGTTTTGGGTTTTGGGTTTTGGGTTTTGGGTTTCGGGTTTAGGGTTTAGGGTTTAGGGTTTGTAGGGTTCAGGGCTTACGTGGAGGATCATGGGACTTAGTAAGTAGGTTATAATTGGGGTTATAAGTCCCCTAAGTGGGGTTATCCTAACTACAACCTACTTAGAACCTTACTTACTAAGTCCCATGAGCCTTTAAGTAGGGTTCAGGGCTTAGGGTTTAATCAAACTATTTGGGTTTAGAAGGGTTTTATGAGGTTCTATGTGGTCTTCACGGGTGTTTATAAGGGTTCGTATCAGGCCTTTTCTTGCGAGGTTCCCACAAGATTTCTATGCGGGATTTAGCATTATTGGAAAGGCTCGGGGGTTTAGCATTTCGGGTATTTAACCCCGAACCCAACACCAAAAACATCCGGCAGCCCAAACCCTGAGGCGCTGAACTCTACCCTGAGCCGGTTTGATTACTTGGAGGATCATGGGACTTAGTAAGTAAGGTTATAAGTACCCTAAGTGGGGATATAAGTAGTTATAGGTACAGTTACCTTAATTATAACCCTAGTTACTAAGTCCCATGATCCTCTAAGTAGGTGGGTTTAGACAGCATCTCTGCCGGTTCCGCGGTAGCTGGGTCTACTGTTGGGGGGCGAGTCTCCCCTGAAGTGTGTCCGCCAGGGTTTAGAGTTCAGAGTTTGCGGCAACAGGTTTAGGGTTTAGGGTTCAGAGTTTGCGGCTTTAGGCTAGGACCTAGAGTAGGCCCTTATTCCCTTTTTTAAGGGTTCGGGTTCCCTGACAAGCACCTTTAAACCAAAAAGGGCACCCTTTTTATTCCTAGGATACTCTTGGGTCTAGTAGGGGTGAGGGTGTCGTTCAGTAGTCTTGGCCTCTGAGTGGTAGCCTCTATCCTTTTCTGGCTCATAGAACCATACCGTAAATCCAACGGTTAGTTACTCCAGCAACGAAGTATTTGTAAGACGGAATTGGTTCCCTAAACCCTAAACCCTAAACCCTAAACCTTAGGGCTTTGAGGGTCTGGGGAGCAGGAAGGCTTTTTCTTGGACAACGTTGTGCTCAAGCTAGAACTAGACTAGGATGCCCAGTAGTACCCTTATTCCTTTTTTGTAGTCCTAGGTTCCTTATAAAGTTACCCAATACCAAAAAGAGAGGCCTTTTTATTCTTAGGTTACTGGGTATCCTAGTAGAAGTGTAGAAGCACCGACGTTTGTACAAGACGAGCCTAGTTGATAACGGTGAGTCCAGCGTACTTACCAAGTTCAACCGGCACGCTCTACAAGACTTAAACTAACCCTAAAGCCTTGAACTGTTAACTCTACACTTTTTACAAAGTCTCCCGACCCTTAATAAGGACCCCTAGGTATATACCCTTAATATAGCTATATATACCCATTATAGGGTAGGGGTCCCCATTGAGGGTCCCTCCTTTTCCCCGATCCTCTACTTGGACACGTGAGGCAGATCTATGCTTTCCTTGGACACGCCTAACCCTAAACCCTAGAGCCTAATCCCTAAACCCCAACCCCCCTAACCCTAAACCCTAAAGCCTAAAGCCTAGGCAGATCTATGCCAAGATGGACGCACAGTCGGATGAATGGGCGACGGAGCTTGATGTGCCTTGGCTGAGCGTCGGAGCTGCCATCCGAAATTAGGGTTTAGGGTTTAGGGTATAGGGTTTAGGGTTTAGGGTTTGGGGTTTAGGGTTTAGGGTTTAGGATACCCGAAGTTTTGCCGCACAAGGCCCGCGTCATGGAAAACCCAACTCCATAATCACAGTTTACAGTAAGGTTCAGGGTTTAGGGTTTGGGGGTGTGCGGGTTTTAGGGCTTCCTTAGGGGTTCTGGGCTTGGAAACAAACCCACAAACCATAAAACCCTAGACCCGAAACCCCCAAACCCAGATCATTGATAACGTGCCCCAACTAGGATGCCCAGTAGTACCCTTATTCCCTTTTTGTAGTCCTAGGTTCCTTATAAAGTTACCCAATACCAAAAAGAGAGGCCTTTTTTTCTTAGGTTACTGGGTATCCTAGCCAAAGGCCTCCGACACCGAACTGCTGATTGGCTTGGGGCAGCTCTTGGCTATGCGGCTGTGCCATGGCTAAGTTTGTTAGAGAGGGTTAGGGTTCAAGGGCTTGCGGTTGAGGGTTTAGGGATTAGGGTCTAGGGAATAGGTTTAGTCAGGGGTGAAGGTTTAAGGATAAGTCCTTTGCGAAGCCCTTGTCGACATAAGCAAAGTAGCTACTGTTGTAATTTGTGCCAGCCTCAATTAAGGAAGGTACTTACGGTACTAAAACCGGTCCCATGGGACCCTCATGGAAACCCCACGAGGTTCTTCCAAACCTTAAACCCTAAACCCTCATAGCCCACAGTTATCGGTCGCGAACCTTTACTTCTACGAGAACTCTCAACGGAACCCTTGCTAGGATGCCCAGTAGGACCCTTATTCCCTTTTTGTAGTCCTAGGTGCCTTATAAAGTTGCCCAATACCAAAAAAGGAGCCCTTTGTATTCCTACTGTTGATGATATAAATCCTGCATTACCCGTAATAAGGGATATACCCATTATTCTGTGGAAGACCTTGAGTTGTCTTGTGTGTACCGTTTGATGTACCGCAGGATGTCCTGAAGCAAGCATGCGATCGTTCATGATCGGCAGAAGCCAGCTTCGCATGATCGGCAGAAGCCTACGTTCATGATCGACAGAAGCCAGCCTTGTAAAGCTTTAGGCATAAGCTTCAGAGCATGCTCAGATTTCGTGTCTTGGCGGAAAAGATAAGCCTTCGTCTTGCGTGCCATGGAAAGCCAACTTGTTTGATTGGCTCTACAAAAGATCAACAACAGGCCGTTTGACTGAGCACTCCGCAAGCGTACTCTACGATCTATAGGTTATGAGTTCCCAAGCTGAACAAGAACAACCCCGTCTGCTGGAGGGAGAAGCTGCAGGCCCGAACTATGGGCGTGCTAATCCTGGTATGGCAGTTGAAGGAGGGATGCTTAACGGAACTGGGACAGCTGGAGTGCGTGGTTCTGAAAGGGATCAGGGTCTTCAGTCTTCAGTTTCTGATGAGCAAGCTTTGGGATCTCAAAGTGCTCCACGAGAGTCTCTTGGTGGATCACAGGTTCCTTTGCAGGAGCTTGGAAGGCCGGATGTTCCTCGAGGAGCTCAGCAGGCTGTGCAAACCGGACATGGTAGCGCGTCGTTGGATACGTCAGTGCCTGTGCAGAGCGTGGCAGGGACAGCTTCAGTAGGGAATGGAGCTAGCGTACCCGGGTTAGGGGTTGGTTCAAGCACACAACAGCAGCCACGACAGCCTGAAGCGCAACAGCAGCCACGACAGCCTGAAGCGCAACAGCAGCCACGACAGCCTGAAGCACAGCAGCAGCCACGACAGCCTGAAGCACAGCAGCAGCCACGACAGCCTGAAGCACCGCAGCAGCCATCGTCAGTGCCTACTACATCCTCAAATGTTCCTTTGAGACTCGAGTTCCCAAGGAGGCCACGAGATCTTCCTGTTGAAAGCCCTCAGAGAGATGGTCTTCTTTCGGGGTCTCCGTTTCATGAGGCTATGGAGACGGCGGACGGTGTTACATCTACTTCGGGGTTTGCTACTGCGAGGAGTGAGTCGGTGGATGGAGCTAGAAGTATGTTGGTGACGTTTGGTGAGATGTTGCAAAGACGAGTGGTGGCTCCTGTTAGAAATGCTGGTCGAAGCTTCTCAATTGCAGGTGCGATGACCACCCCTGCTTCAGCTACGCCTACTCTGTTTCCTCCTGACATACAACAAGCTATGGTTGTGCATCAAGCAAGGCAGTCGCTGATAAGTCCTCAACATGGAAGACCCCAAGAAGAAGCAGGCTCCTCAAGCAGCGTGAACCAAGAGGCGATGATGGAGGAGGTCCGAAAACAGGTTTCTTTGGCAATGCAAGGCCGAGACCAGGAGGTGAGTTTGTTGAGACAGCGAAATCAAGAGCTAGAACGGGCACTGAGCGAAGCGAACTCAGCCATCAGGACGTATGGAGCTGGAGAGATGCGGACGTCTTCTACTACGAGATCCGGGGTACCCCAGGGGCACCAGAGCCAACCTGGAGAAGTTCCTCCGGGTAATGTTGAAGGTTACAAAGCGCATCAAGGGGATCCAGCCCAACCTCAAGGTTTCTTTTCTGACCCCGGAGGCAATCCTCTAGGAGCGGGACGTGGCGGAGACCGGTTTCCAGCTGGAATGGAGGAGCCTCCAGGGCTCGGGCACTCACGAGATGCAATCCCAGGACGACGAGAGGGTGAACCACAACATCCTTCAAGCACGCGTCCGGGAGCGTCTGCGGGAGGGCTTGAGGGAATCGATGTGGAGCCGTTGCACCTACTGGTCCAAGGGATGCGGCAGTTACAGCAGGCCTACATCGGAAAAGGGGAGTCCCGCGATTCAGAGCTCAAGGGAACGATTGAGCTTCCGAGCATGCCGGAGCTGACGGCGGACTCGGCAGTCAGTTTTTCGGATTGGCTGTACGAGACGGAGCAAGCCATTGGCGGTCTTAGCGACCGGGCGGCGGCTTGGTTTACGATGTGTTTGACTTGTGCAAAGGAAGCTTACGAGCAGTACCAGGTGAGCGACCCCTTGGCTCGGCTCACTCTGGAGCCAGTGCGACCAGATGCCCTTCGTGATGAGAGGTGGTCGAGGCTGGAAAGAAGGGTGTTGACCCTCCTGTTGGGGTCGCTGAAGAAGCAAGCCAAAGATGATGCTGTTACCCACAGGATCAGCACAGTCTCAGGACTACTGTATCGTCTTCATGTTTTGTATGCTCCTGGAAGCGCGGCAGAAAGGGCATCAATACTTCGACAACTAGAAGGGCAACAGGGTTCTGGGAGCTTGGTTGAGACTGTGGCGGCAATGCGCAAGTGGCGCAGACACTTGCAACGTGCAGAAGAGATGTGTATTGCGATACCAGATGCATCGCTCCTTCTCAAAGGGGTGGAGACGCTATCGTACAAGGCGGTGGAGTCTTTGCCGGAGGTGAAGTTCAGGCTCGCCCTGTCAAAGAGCCAGCTGCAGTTGCAATACCGACCGACTACAGACAGCGTCTTGAAGTTCTACGACCACATTTTGGCAGAGCTCCAGCAAGCAGCTCCTTCCCGGGCGCCTACTTCAACATCCACTACAACGACGGAGACAACGAGGCTAAAGGGAATGAATGCTACCAATGGAGCTGGAACTGGGGAAACCTCTTCACCAACGAGACGGGATGGACACCCCCAGGGGACAAAGGTTCCTTGCCGGTTCTTTCAGTCGGCTACGGGCTGCTCGAAAGGTCAAGCTTGCAAGTTCGATCACACCTTCGCTTCCAAGGATGAGAAGAAGTCTCGTTGCTGGCACTGCGGATCGACCCAGCACACTCAGAAGGACTGCTCGGTGAAGAGACAGTCGCCAACGAAGGGACGGCAACAGCCATCTGGAGCTACGTCAGCGACTACCTCGTCGGCAACTACACCTGGAGCTCCAACCCTGAATCAGGCAGCTGTGCAACAACAGCAGGCGCTGCTTGAGTCACTTCAAAGCGCGGCCGCAGTTACGGCATCTACTTCTGCGGGATCTACATTGACGGCACCCTCGGCATCTACAACCCTGACTGCTCCGGCAACAGCCACGGCACAACAATCGGTTGAAGCGCCAGGAAATGATGAGAAGACCCAGGAGATCAGTGCCTTACTTCAACAGGCGAATGCGATGCTCAACAAGTTGACCCGACTTCAAGCGATCCAGGTCACCACGGACAAGAGCCTTCAGGAGCTGGCAGCTAGAATGGAGGACCTGGGTTTTGATGAGGGCGAGCGTCTAGCACTACTGGACTCTGGTGCTTCACATGCGTTCCGGGATCGACGGACAGATGAGCTCTTGCCCGAAGCTCCGGTTACTGTGGAGCTTGCTGGAGGACAGTGTGTGACTCTACAGCAGAACAAGGCCGGAACCTTGATTCCAACGGCGAGTTCGGCGGGGTCAACAGAGGCAGCTACAATACTGCCCCTAGGGGCACTCGTTCAACAGCTGGGGTGTGAGTTATCTTGGACAAGGAAGGGCGGCTTGAAAATCATTCACCCTCAACACGGAGTACTCAAGACGGTGGTGAAGGGGAACTGCCCGCTTCTGGGAGAGACCCAAGCGTTGGACTTGATCCACCAGTTGGAGCAGAGAAAGCTGCAGGAGCTTCGCGAGGCTACGGCGGAAACTTTCATTGGGACTTTGTGTTTGACTGAGGTGAAGGAATGGGACGAGCTCATGATGAAGTATGTCCAGAATGGTGAACGTTCGACGCTTCTTCAAGCACTGCAGGCCCCGGGCTCCCCTCTTCAAGGAGTTGAGAATCAGTTATTGTCAATGCTGGCAGTGGGTACGGGCAAATCCGAGGACCACGGAAAGGCGTATCTGAAGGCATTGCCGATGAGAAGGTCTCAAAGGAGGGCTTTGTTGTCCAAGCGATGGATTGTGAAGCTCTACGAGCGGGAGGGTGAGTCGGCGGAGCCCTACAAGATCCTGGAGAGCGATAAGGTGGTTTTCTTCAACGTCAATGTACACCGAAGCCGAGGGTTTACGATGAAGGGGACAAGCTCCGTTTACCAGGCTTTGATGTGGGCCGCGTGTCGGGGTCAAATCGAGGGCCTACTAGGAGCTCCACCTTCGAACTCTTGTGCCGAGTTGACAACAAAGCAGCTGCTACTTTGGATGGTGGCCAAGGAAGGTTCAAGGCTACATCGCCAATCGGCTCCCTATCTTGCTTTGACAATGGATCCAGAGTCATCATGGTGGGCGTCAACAACCTGGCAGAGTTTCCAGCGTGAGTATCAGATTCCAGTGACCCAGGCTTCACCTACGGGAACTTCCGAGTCCTACTGCGTGGCAACAAACTTGGAGTTAGCTGGAGGCGACAGCGAAGGTTGGGGACCAAACGTGGATGCAACAAGTACGGCAACCATGGGATGGTCAAGGTCGTTCAATGAGATGATCGCGAGGGGGATTTTGTCATGGAGACGGGTGCCAGAGCCTTTGTTGCTATGCAGTGCTGCGGCAGATTCGTCAGGGATGAGCCCGGAGGAACTTCGAAGGTGGAAAAGGCATATCGCCAACGGACATCTTCCTTACAACAGACGTTGTCGAGTATGTGTTGAAACAGCGGCTACGGGGAGATGTCATAGAAGATTGGTGGCTCCAAGCTGTTACACGTTGTCGTTGGACCTATGTGGACCTTTTCGGCAAAAGGGGGAAAGCGCAGATGGCAAGGGCTAGGTCGGCAACTACACAATGCCAAACGTAAGTGGTTTCAAGGATTACATCATTCCAGAAGAACAACCTCGTGATGATCAACTACCTGATCAAGGAGATGGAGTCCGAGACCCAGATGACGGCGCTGGTGTTGGTCCAGTACAATGGGACGATGGACCTGACTACTTGGAAGAGCTGAAGGAACAAGACCCTGAGGTCGCCGAGGATGAAGGAAAGGAAATGGAGTCTGCCAACGAGGAGTACCAGAAGCTCTTTCGAGACATTGTGGACACCGTGGAGTACAGGAACCTTCATTTCATGATCCCGCTGAAGACCAGGACTGCCCCTGAGGTTGAAGCAGCGATCCGCTTGATGTATGTGCAGCTACGTTCCGAGGGACTACCACTACAACGAGTTCATTCTGATCGGGCAAGGGAGCTAAGAGGACAAGGAATCCGAAGATGGTTGTTGCAGAGGGATGTGTATCCAACAACAGGGGAGGCGCAGTCCCCTCAGACGAATGGCAAGGCCGAGTTGGTCGTGAAGATGCTGAAGAGGCGGGCTCGCACGTTACTACAGTCCTCAGGCCTTCCACGGAGCTGTTGGCCGCTTGCGATGGGCCATGCGGCTTGGGCTCAGAGAGAATTCGCCCTTGGACGTGCCGGTGGAGTAGTACCATTTGGAGCAAGTGTTGCAATCAAGGCTAAGGTCTTCGGGCAGGGAGGAAAGTTCGATCTTGACAACAAGTGGGACAACGGATGCTTCGTTGGTCCATCCACTGAGGTGCGAGGTGGTTTTGTGGTGCGTGATTCAAACGGGCGCTACCTGACTACCATGCACATGAAGACCAAGTTGGTGGATGTTGACGAAGTAATAAAGCCTGACCCTGCAGAGGCGATCCTTCCAGCCCCTTCTACAAGATTGCGACGGAAGGCAACTGTGACTGGGGGAGATGATGGAGATGTTCCTCTACCAACAAGAGATTCAGAGCGGGGAAGTCCGTTGTCGGGTCCACCTGGGGAAGTCGTAGTACCCAATGAGGGAGATGTTCCTCTACCAACGAGAGATTCAGAACGGGGAAGTCCGTTGTCGGGTCCACCTGGGGAAGTCGTAGTACCCATATCAGATGCAGCTCTACCACATGGGGGTCATGGGGATAGTGCATTACCACGTCGTCGTCTTACAGAAAAGACTCGGTTGATGGCTCTTGGTCCACTTACGAGTTTGGAGCAGGAGATTGAGGAGCTAGCCGCTGAGTACGACCTGGACGAAAGGTATGACGAGGAGGCTGTGTTGAGAATCTTTGGTATGCTGGAGGGGACTCGTCACCAAGGGTCGGCAAGAATGGACCAGAAGTCACACACAGAGTCCACGTCGTGGTCTACTGGCATGTACACGCATGGTGGAGTGTCAGGGCTACGAACTACGTCACGAAGGCTTCCGGCGACTACTGTGTACCTGGTCAAGGCTGCGAAGGAGTTGACGGGTCGAGATGTTTTTGGCGTGGTTACGATTGCCCGGGGTGCCCAACTACGAGCACATCGAGATTCTCACAATCACTTGTCTTCCGAAAACACGGTCCTTGCACTTACAGGGTTTCAAGGAGGCGGTATATGGGTTGAATGCGAAGATGGACACCAATGGCGAGAAGTTCAACCAGGACGGTGGGTAAAAGGGAACATTAATCCGCTATCGCTTGGAGAACCTGTGACCTTCAGTCCGAGGAAATGGCATGAGACTCAACGTTTCGAAGGAGACCGTGTGGTGATGATGGTGTACACCCCGCGGATTACGAAGTTGCCAGATGAGAGTAGAGCAGAGCTAAAGGAGTTGGGCTTCAATCTTCCTCTGAAACCTGCGTTACCACAGCCCAGAGCACCAACAACTACTCTGAAGCAACAGTATTTGATCGATGAGGACGAAGCGCTGGAGACCTTTCAGAAGGTTTCAGCTGAGGAGGAGGGTGCTACTTTGGATGGAGCGCTTCTACGAGCAAGTGAACTTCAGCAGCAAGTCATTGATGAGTTGCTTGATAGATCCTCTTTGCTACAAGACTTGCTTGAGGAGGAAGAAGAGAGGATCAAGGATCTACATGATGCTCAACAAGACGGTCTTGATGTCACGAAGCAAATCCATGGGGAGATCATGCAGATGCTGGACAATGTGACCAACAACCTGAAGAAAGAGACCAAGCTCAGAGATGGGACCTTTCTCAAGGCCATGGCGGTTGAGGAGGTTCAGGACTACGAGAAGCTCCTAGAGAACTTGGAGGGTGACTTACAGGTTACTCACACAGTACCACTTCAGCAAGTCAAGCCGGTAGCAGATCGATGGGGAGAAGCAATCCAGAAGGAGATCAAGAACCTGTTCGAGACGGGAACCCTCCGGAAAATCAAGATGTCGGATGCGAAACGGCTAGAAGCTGAAGGAAAACTTCGTTTGGTTCCGAGTAAAGGAGTATTCACGTTGAAGCCCCCTGCCTCGAAAGGGGGTCGTTTCAAAAGAAAATACAGATTGGTGCTGTGCGGCAACTTCGTGGATCCTGATGACGCCTATGGTTCTTTGTACGCGGGTGGCATCAGCGCAGAGTCCCTACGCACCATTCTCTCTGCTACAACGAGGAAGGGATGGAAGGGGGCAACAACAGATATTACAGCTGCTTTTCTCCAGGCGTTGTGGCCTGAGGGTATGCCAATGTATGCTGTTGTCCCTCCACGTCTGTTACAGGAACTACAGTACGCAGAAGATGGAGAGGCATGGTTAGTGCTACGCCCACTCTATGGACTCAGAGAATCTCCAGCGATTTGGTCAAGCCACCGCAACAAAAGATTGAGAACCTTGGAGATTGAGCACGAAGGGCGCACACTTGTTCTTCAACAGTCCAAGACAGATCCGGAGCTGTGGTTTGTGGTCACAAAGCAAGGTGAGGAGGAGGCGCGTGGCTCCCTCCTTGCTCTCTTGATCACCTATGTGGATGATCTGTTTTATGTCGGGCCAGAACAAATAGTACGACTACTACATGATTGGGTCTCAAGTGAATGGCCGTGCTCTGACTTGCAATGGGCAATGGCCCCGGAGGGCATTCGCTACCTCGGGATGGAGATTTACCAAAGGGAGACGGGCGAGTATGCGATCACACAGCGCGGATACATCATGGACCTGATCCGTGCCCACAACATCCTCAACGAGCCGAAGACCCTTTTGCCGTGTCCGAAGGAGTGGGTCACAGATGATGTGGACCAGGAACCTGAATCCTTCCGTGAGGCAGACCTACGAATGGGACAGCGGCTTATCGGAGAGCAGCTTTGGCTAGCGATGAGATGTCGTCCCGACATCCATCACGTTGTTAGCTACATGGCCAGTTGGGTGAGCAAGCACCCAATCCGTGTCTCAAGGATGGCGATGAGAGTTCTGAGTTACCTACACAAGACGGCCGAGATGGTGATGATCTTGGGACAGCCCGAGGACTTGACGGCCGATGAAGGAGGCACCAGCTCAAGCAACAACACACCCAGCGGAAGCCCACAGAAGCAACAAACAACAAACAAGGTGGGTTCGGGTTTCTGTGACTTAAAAATAACTGGGTTTAGTGACGCGAGCTTTGCTCCCTACGGAAGCAAGTCCTATGGTGCCTCTCTGGTAACGCTTGAGGACTCTCCGGTGGCTTGGAGATGTGGAAAGCAGGCCTACGTGATGCTTTCAATCATGGAATCGGAGCTCTACCAGGCAACGGAAGCGGCAGTCTTGGTGGAGAGCGTCGCCGCTCTTCTGGATGAGCTGTCAGGTTTTTACACACCACGCAAACTTTGCGTCGATAATACTGCTGCTGTGGCTATGGCCACGGGAGGACCTGGTAGCTGGAGGACGCGACACCTACGTGTACGATCAGAGTATCTACTTGAGCGTGTGCGAGAGGGCTACCTACAGCTGGAACATGTGGATGGAGTCAAGCAGCGAGCGGACCTTTCGACAAAGGTTCACTCAAAAATCAGACTCTACACGCTACTGAAGATGTGGAGGTTCGAGAATCTCCCACCTGAGGCAGAAGCGATTGTCCTGGCGAAGTTAGCTGCTACGTTGTGCTTACTCAAGGCTTTTGAAGGCCTACCAAGGGCTTTGGCTGAAGAGAACACGGCAGCTACGTCCTCAGTGAGTGTGGCAGGCTTCGACGAGTTGCTAGTTTTTGCGGCTTTGGCTGTTGTAGCTGCTATTGTCTGCTGGGAACTGGCAAAGTATGTTGGAAGGTGGTTGTGGAAGTGCCTGTGTAAAAAGACTAGTGCACAGAAGGCGCGAAAACTACGAGACAAGGCCAAGGCGGCTGCGGAGGCAGAAGTGGAGCGCGTCTTCGCGACACCCCGAGCTGAGCCTAACGCCTTTGCGGCATCGTCGAGTACGTCATGGTACCCATCGTCTTTGGCCCCGCGAACAAGGTCAATTGCTACTCAGACGATGGACTGGACCATGAGTAGCGCTCCGATGCCTGTGGTGCGAGAGCCTACTGTGACACCGCCGACCGGTGTCCGATCAACGATTCAGGATGACAACTTCTACATGATCTTTGATGGACCGTTTTACAAATCAGAGCATGGTGATACGGTTCATTTGTCGCCAGACTGTCAAGGTTTCCGCTGGGCAACTCATGCTGTTACTGGATATCGCTTGTGCAACTACTGCAGCAGAAGGCATCCAATTTATCAGCACCGACCAAGGTCGAGCCCGGTTAGGAGAAACCTGAGGTCCAGCAACTCTGGTTGAGACTGGAGTGGCGACGCGGCTCTTGGGAGCCACCAACTGCATGCAGTATGGGAGTGGAGCTTCTGTACAGCACTAGGACTTTGATCCATACGATTCCACAAGACTTTTCGTGTGTGAACGAACGAAGGTGTCGTTCACAAGGAGGAGTGTGGAAGACCTTGAGTTGTCTTGTGTGTACCGTTTGATGTACCGCAGGATGTCCTGAAGCAAGCATGCGATCGTTCATGATCGGCAGAAGCCAGCTTCGCATGATCGGCAGAAGCCTACGTTCATGATCGACAGAAGCCAGCCTTGTAAAGCTTTAGGCATAAGCTTCAGAGCATGCTCAGATTTCGTGTCTTGGCGGAAAAGATAAGCCTTCGTCTTGCGTGCCATGGAAAGCCAACTTGTTTGATTGGCTCTACAAAAGATCAACAACAGGCCGTTTGACTGAGCACTCCGCAAGCGTACTCTACGATCTATATATTCACATAGTTTAGGGTCCTTCAGGTAGTGCAGGATTTATATCCCTAAACCCTAAACCCCTATAGATCCCCTATAAAGGAACCCCTTAAAGGTACCCTATAGATCCCTTAAAGGAGCCCCTTAAAGGTACCCTTCATCAACCCTGGGTTACTGGGCATCCTGGTTTAGGGTGAAGGGCTCAATGGGAGTTAGGATTAGGGGGACCCTTGGGGACATAGACCCTCTCAAAAAGGCCCCTTTTAAGAGAGCCAGAAGTAGGGTTCAGAAGGGGTGCCCTCTAATCATACTACCCACTCAAGCAACCGACTGATCCAGCCGAGGAGCACAAGAAAGGCCGGAGATCAGAGAAGCGTGAAGTTTTCCTTCGGGGACAGGGTTTAGGGTTTGGGGTTTAGGGGTGGGTGGGTGGGGGGAATTGGGGTTTAGGATTCACGGCATTAGGGTCTCGTGTTAAGGCTTAATTAGGGGTTTAGGCTTTGGGGTTTACATAGAGTTGAGGGTTTGGGGTTTAGGGTTAATCAAGGCTACAATACTATATTTGGTACCTGTGGTGAAGAGCAGGGTTTCCTTGTTATGACAATGTAAAGAAGTTCCAAGTTTCTCTCAGGCAGCCTTGAACGTTTCCTTCTACAAGGATTTAAGCATGAATTTCTTCCCATAATTTCCTGGTTTGTGTCTCAATATTAGGGGATCCGGGTATATGATCTTCACCATTAAATATTCCGAAACAATACCCCCTAATATCGAAACTACCTAGAACTCCAGCAGCTAGTTATCCTAAGCCTGTAGCCTCCATACTTATTTATTTAAAGCCCTGACTAAACCTTGAAGCCCTATAAGCACCAAATCCCAAACCCCAAACCTTGAGCCCTAAAGCCCTGAAACAGAAGTTCCGGATTCTTGCGAGGCGCGTGTAGAAAGGCGCTCAACAAAAGCCTTAAGCCCTAAAACCCTAAGCCCTAAACCTGGAACCCTAAACCCTAAAGCCCTCGCCCTAAACCTTGAGCTCTAAAGCCTTGAGCCCTAAACTTTTAGCCCTAAGCCCGAAACCCCTAAACCCTAAAGCTCTCGTCCTTATACTGCTGTAGTCTTGGCTCTATTCTATAAGACTAGCAAAATCCTAGGCCCCCCCTAATCTTTTAATTGATGTTCACTTGTGGGCCCGAAACCGCAAAATTCCAGGGGCCGGGTGTTTTTTATATTCGGCGGGGGGTTTAATATCAGGGGGAAGCGATTGCTCTTTCGGGCTTACCGTTTAAGGCTTGGGGATCAGAAGCCCAAATCCCAAAGCCCACACCCGAAACCCTGCATCGACCCTTAACCCTCAACGCTCAGTTTGGTGGTTGCAGCCATAGATTACTTAGGGTTAGAACGTTGCAGGGCGAAGTGCAGGATTTGAGGCTTAGGGTTTACGGGTCAGGGTTTGGGGGACTAGCAGCAACTTCAAACCAGTACACCTTGTAGTACCCTTCTAGATCACTTCGTTACGCCTTACAGAATCTTTACTGGAGCCCTGTTGGCAAGGTTTAGACAGTTTAGCACATAGCGGAAGCCTGGCGCAGGTCGCTCAGAAGGAGCAGAGGGATGGCAATGTAGCGGCCAAAGAGGCCCTTCTATTCAGCTGTTCTACTTTTTACAGTGTTGTTACAGTTGTTGCATGTGTTTTCATCATTGAAGGCTTTTGTAACTCGTTTTCATAAGGGCTTTGCAAGGGATTTGGATGTGTAGGCTTTACTTGGAGGCCCTGTTGACTTAGTAAGTCTACTTAGTATCCCCTAGAAACCCTCTTATAATCCCCATAACCCACCTTACTAACCCTACTTACTAAGTCAAAAGGGCCTCCAAGTACGGTCTGCGATTTTAGGTCTTGGAGTTTGGCGTTGTGGATCTCGCGGAGGGCTTCCCGGATTGAGGTGGTGACGAGTCTTCCTCGTCCCACGAGTCGGTCCCCTTCCCGAAGGGTCCTATGCATCGTTATAGTAATAGTAGAATGTAGGGTTTCCATGTTAAGAGTTACTATAATGACTTAGGGAAGTTTCCCCCCAGAACAATACATAGGACCGTTTGGGCTTTGGGCCCGATTTACCCCTAGTTTTAAGCCTCCAGCCGGCGCTTCTCATTCATGTTTCAATCAGCACATTGAAGCAAGTGTTTCCCAATAAAGAACCCTGCTGATCAGGTCTACCACACAGAGCCAGGACCTTCCTAGCCATCATACGGCCAACAAGACATTCTCCTGTCAGAAGGTGCCTCTTGAATTCTGCAAAGCCCGAAGTGCTGTGTGATAAAGGGGCGTCGTTAATTTGGATTGGGTCTAGGTGTACTAAACCCTAAACCCTGAATTCCAGCAAGGAACCCTCAGGAATAGCATTGGGAATGGTTCGGGCTGCTATGTTTGCCTGGCATCAAGATCCCGGAAGGACCACTGACCCGGCTGCCACGTGGACTAAACCCTGCAACCTTTAACCCTTAAGCCTAAAACCCCGAACCCAAAACCCTAAACCCCGAAACCCTAAACTCTAAACCTTACAGTAGAAGCCAGAAAGTTGGAATATGATTATCCTAACCCTTCTATGGTAAATTATAGGGGATCCTACCATTAATCCATATTCCTACTTTCTGGAGTTCCCTTTAAACCTTAAACCCCAAAGCCACAAAACCCAGCGGGACCTCGATCGCCAGGTAGATCCACCACCGGGCCTGCCGGAAGGCAAGTTCGACTGAGATTTCCAAAGAGCCAGGGTTTAGGGTTTAGGGTTTAGGGTTTAGGGTTTAGGGTTTAGGGGTTTAGGGTTTAGGGTTTAGGGTTTTAGGGTTTTAGGGTTTAGGGTTTAGGGTTTAGGGTTTTGGGTTTTAGGGTTTTAGGGTTTAGGGTTTTAGGTTTTAGGGTTTAGGGTTTAGGGTTTAGGGTTTAGGAATCACGGACTGTTTAGGGTGTACTTGGAGGATCATGGGACTTAGCAAGTATGGTTATAAGTACCTTAAGTGGGGTTTATAAGTGATTATAAGCATAGTTACCTTAATTATAGCCCTAGTTACTAAGCCCCACGATCCTCTAAGTAGGGTTTAGGGGTTCAGGGTTTAGGGCTGAGGGTTTACGTATGTTGAGGGCTTACTTAACAGTAACAGACTTGACCATTAGGGGTGCAGGTTGGCAGGCGCAAGCATCCAGATTTGGACAGCTGGCCATGTTCTGAAATTGGAGTGTTTGTGATTTTTGTTGTGTGATGTCTAAGTCTAAAGAAGACCCTACATTCCTGTGGCTTTGGAGGGCGGCGTTTCGAGTTTGCAGCTTTGCCTCTTCGCGTTCAGATGTGCTTCTGGCCCTGAACCCGAAACCCCAATCCCCAAGCCCTGAACATTGAAGCTTAGGGGTACTTAGAAATAATATTTAATTCTTGGTTGTCATAATCCCTAAGAAACAGCTAAAGTTATAATTTTTGCTACGGTTCTAAGTTCAGTATAGGAAGCCCGTGCATGTGCCTCCACGCCGAGACGTTCCCACCGGAGGAGGACATTTAAACAGTGCCCTCCTCTTGCTATTGGGCTTTCTTCTGTTCCTGCGCCGTAGGGTCCTAGGGTTTAGGGTTTAGGGTTTGGGGAGCTCCATTTAGGTTCTCACGCTTTTTCCAGGGTCTTTAGTTTTACTGTTCTCGGCTGCAGGGCGTTGGGTGTGTTAGCTATGTCACCGAGTATCGTTTTGGCATAGAGATGGGTGGTTAATAGAGAGCATCAGACGGTCGGTGTTCCTCAACCCTCCACCTTAAAGAAAGAACCCCAAACCCCTATGGAGCCTTACCAACATTAAACAAAAGCAACTCCAATCAAGAAGCCTTATCAGAACCCCTACAGTACCCATGTGGAACCGGGATTTGTTGCACAGGATTTGGGGATTAGGGGTTGGGATCATCAGGGATCCCCAAACCCTGTAAAGCCCTGATGGCAGCAGGAAGTCAAGCAAACCGTCCGTTAAATACATGAAGCAAAAAGATCAAGAGCCAGTTTGTATATCACAGTTGTTTGCAACTTTGGTTGATGCAACAATTTAGTGACAGTCTGACTTGACCTTTGCCATTTTTGCTTTTGCGGGTGTGACATCCTACGAGGAGTTCAACCACAGGTTCCAGATTGCATTTAGGCGAGTCCAATTTGCGGCTCCATCCTTTACCAGGAATTATCTGTGCGCTTGCCATTCACATTGACTGACCACACGGTGGAAGATCTTGCTCAAGGATATGGCTGGAACACGTCCTACATGCGCCCGGTTGCTCTCTGTTTGGCGAAGGCTCCGCTAGCAACGATGTTGCCAGGATGCTGAGTCAGTCGGAACAAAGCAGCCATGCACTGCCTCCACCAAGTACAGCTTCGCCAGCAAGTGCGAGGCCAGCTGTAAAGGCGCCTCTCCCGGCACATGCCAAAGCCACCACAGCCGCCCCGATCGTGATGCCAACACCTGTGCGAGCAACTTCTGGGCCACCTCAGGCTGTGGCTCCCGCAGCAGCCGCAGTTCCCCCCCGCCCCAGCAGGCCTGTATGCCCTAAGCTCTCAAGCTCGAATCAGGGTTGAGGCTTTGGGGTGTAAGGTGTGATGCAAGGTGGAATGCTTAAGCCCTAAGCCCAGAGCCCCAACCCTCGCAGCTCTGAAGCCCTAAAACTCATATAAGCGCCAGGGTTTGTATTTAGGGTTTAGGGCTTATAGGTAGTATATTTGGGGTTTTGGGTTTCAACCCAACCCTAAGCGCTGAATCTTGGAAGGCTGGAAGTGCATTGAGCATACGTACAAGTCGGGTGCTTGCCAGGCCGTCGAGACCAAATCCAGTCTTTTGCCGGTTAGGGAGGGGTCCTTTAAAGGAACGATCAGGGTTCCTATAAGGGATCTATAAGGGTGCTATAGGGTTTGAGGTCTTTGGGGTTTAAAGTATACGGTTTGGGTTATTTTAGGGTTGAGAGGGTCAGGATTTCGGGCTCAGGGGGAGCTTTCCAATATGGCGGGCCTAAATAGCCAGGAAGGTTATTCCCGCAGGAGTTCCGACATGTCTATGAAGTTCGTGGTGTCAGACCCTTCGAAGCCGCAAAGGAATTAATTAGGCCCCGTGCTGTGCTGTGGGGTTTCCATAGAATCACGTAGGTGTTTGTTTGAATCGCTGGTCGGCTTCATAACGGTTTTCACGGTTCAAATGCAAGGTTTCAAGTTTGCACTTCGGCGAAATCACAAACCCTAAACTTCTAAACCCTACGTAAGTTCTCTATGTCCTCAAGCATGAAAAGACGGGGAGGTTTCCTGCGAATCTAGGCTGACTTGGATCTACGATGGAGAAGTAAAGGATGAGGGGCACCGAGTGGATTGGTTTAGGCTGCTAACGATTCCTTAAAGGGCTTCCCTAAAGGAACCGAACCGTTTAGGGATTCGGAGCGGGTTCCAAGGGTTCCATGTTTAGGGTAGAGTTTAAGGCGGATTTTATCGGATCTACGCTTTGATGTATAGGGCGCTCGAAGAATCAGGAGGGGATTCATCAGACATGGTTGTAAGTAGAAGTAATTCATCTTGGCTATACGTACTTTGGCACCCATCCAGAGTAGGAGAGACCCTGATTCATCAACCCTCTCCCAAAACTTTTGCATTCGGATCCTAATGACGCTTTCTAGAAAGACCTAGATTTTATCGGGGCTCTTCAAGGCAGGTTATGATAGAGAATGCAGGGTCCGGAAAGTGTGGAAGGGTCCTACAAGCAGGGTTTAGGCTTCAGGGTTCAGGGAAAGCTCAAGACGCGTTCATGAGGGAGGTTTGGGGCTGAGAGATTGGTGTCGTCTATAGTTCACTCAAGAGGAACCTAAAGAAATTTCAACTCTTCAACCTTCGACGCTTGTGAACCCAGACCCCTCTCAACCCTGGAACCGTCGACGCAGGCCTCATCGGCTGAAACATGCAAAGCCAACAGACTGGCCTTCTGCTAAAACTTCCCTTTGGTCAGTAGGGAATGGAAGAATGGTAGTAATAGTAGTTTTATTGTACCCCATTCCTCCATTCCCTACTAACCGAAGGTAAGAAAAGACAGCTCTGACGTACTTGCCAAGAGTCCTAAAGCCGGTTCCTTCTCAGTGTTGCTTTTAAGGGTTCTAGGACCCGGAGTAGGCCCTTATTCCCTTTTTTAGGGTTTAGGTTCCCTTATAGCCCCCTTTAAACCAAAAAGGGCACCCTTTTTATTCCTAGGTTACTCTTAGGTCTAGGGTGGTGCAAGGGTAATTGGGTTTAGGCGGGTCCTCGATGTTACTTTCAGGTGCGTTTGTTTCTTCAGCCCTCAACTCTCGACCCTTTAGTTAAAGAGTTCACAGTGTAGGGTCAAAGACCCAGATATCTCAAACCCTGAAGCCTGAAGCCACCAAACCCTAAACCCTGAGCCGCGAACGTTAAATTCCTAAGCCAGGGAAAGACCTACCTCCGCTTCACGAGCCCGTGGGGCCAAAAAGGCCTCATGCTTCTTGGCATCCCGTGGGTTTAGGGCTGGATGGGTTTGGGGTCCATGGTATAGAGTTCAGGGTTTGGGGTTTAGGATTTGCGATTTAGGGTTTTGGGAGTTTAGGGATTAGGGTTGAGGTGAGGGGTTGAGGTTCACGGTTCAGAGTTTAGGGATTAAAGCGTTCGGCGTAATTTAATTGTTTGGGTTTGGGTCAGCCTTTGGGGCCTAAGATCCGGGGTTATAGGATTTCGGACGTGGGGTTTGATGCGGAGCTTCTGAGGTCTGTGAAAGCTGCGATAAAGGCGGATGCCGACAAGAAGGGCGAGGACTGTTGCACGGTTTACTTTGAGGATCATGGGACTTTGTAAGTATGGCCATAAGTACGTTAAGTAGGGTTATAAGCAAGTGTAAATATGGCTACCTTAAGTCTAACCCTAGTTACTAAGTCCCACGAGCCTCTCAGTAGGGTTTAGGATTAGTTTCGGGAGCTTCGGGGTGAGGGTTGTGAATCTGGGTTCAGGGCTTGGGTTTCAGGAAGATGGAGTTTCGGTTTGGGAGCGGCTTCGATTGTTTTGGGTTGAGGCTTTGGGGATTAGGGGAAGATTCAGACAGTCCGCTTCTAACAACAACCTAGATGAAGCGTTTCTTCTGGGCTGTTATTTGGCATCTCTTTGCCGCAAAAAAGCAAGAGTAATAGTTTACACAGCCCTCATGATGACGTCCGTTGAAAATCTCCAAAAATCCCTACGCGCAAATTCAATGAGCTTATGCTATCCAAATCAAACCGCTAAACCCTAACAAACCCTAAAACCTAAACCAACAAACGTGAACCCTAAACCCTAAACCCCTTATGGATCCCTTTAAAGGAACCCTAAACCCTGGTATGGAGTCCCTTTAAAGGAACCCCTAAACCCTAAACCCTACCCCTTGCGAGCATCCTCGCCATAATCCGGGGCTTTGCAGCTTTTTTGTGAGGGCCTCGGTGGTCCTGAACCCTAAACCTCTCGATCTGTAGGGTTTAGGGGTTTAGGGGTTGGGGGTTTAGGGGTTAGGGGTTAAGGGTGAGGGGTTTAGGGTTTAGGGTTTAGGGGTTTAGGTGTTCAGGGTTCAGGGGTTTAGGGTTTAGGGATTGGCTTGTTTTTTAGACCATCTGAAGTTCTTCCCCAAGCCCCGTTTGAGTTGGCCACATCGCTATACGGCTAAATCCTCGACTCAAAGCCCTAATCTTGGGTACGGCCCCCACTCGGTCATAG